GTAAGGAATCAAGCCATCCTAACTATATGAGTCCATTTTGCTCCTCCCCAAGTCTCAAATAAAAAATAACTGGACTCTCATATAGCACATATCACATTATCTCCATCTATGCCTCCTCAGCCTCAGTCTCAGCTTCAGTCTCAGCAGTTCCATTCGTCGTACTCTCCGCATTGCCCCCTTCATCCGTCTCAACGTCAATAAGCGATTCTGACGACGGCGGTTCGGTAGCAGGGGCAGCGGCACCTCCTTCCTTCTCGATACGGATGTATTCATCCCACTCGGGGAAGAGGTCGTCATCTGTAGCGACGCCCTCGGGAGCGCCGGGTGGAACACCGACTAGGCGCGAGATCTTAGACTTCCCGCCCTGCTCGAGAGACTCCTTCCATTGAGCCACGAGCTTGGGTGCCCGCGAAGGCTTGTAGGTCTGAGCGAAGAGGACGGATTCCGCGAGACGGCCGGTCTGCATGAGGAGGTCGATGCTGCCGTCGACGTCACCGAGGGTCCAGAGGGTGGAGAAGGCGACGTTGTGCAGGCCGGCTTCGGAGGCTTGCTGGGCGAGTGCCTTGAGGCCTTCGCGGTTGCCGCTGGCGGTGTGCAGGAGGAGGAGGGAGCCGAGGTCTTTGGCGTTGGTGAAGCATTCCTGGGCAAGGGAGAGGTTCCAGCTTGCTAGCGCAGTGTCGCCGACTGTCTTCCATTTGTGCTCGACGTTGGATTCGCGGGCGATCTCGAGGGCGGTTTCAAGGTCGCTGAGCGAGAGAGCGAGGTCGAAGCGGTGCTCTGGGTCCGTGGCGACTTCGAGTGCCATCTCCTTGTAGCCTTGGCCTTCGAGGAAGCGGGCTACCTTGTTCATCTGGTCCTGGGGGATGTCCGTGAGCAGCTCCGCTGCCTGATCCATATCTCCACGCAGCACCAGGGTCTGGTATTCAACCATGCCAAGCGACAAGCCGAAGGACACGGCGTTAACGTCCTTGTCGGCAAGGTAGATTCTACCATCACGAGGCAGATAACCCAGAAGGTACATGGCTTGGTCGAAGTGGGAAATCGTGTAGGTCTGGTCACCGACCAGGTAGTTCAGGCGGTTTGTTGTGTTCGTGTAGATGAAGCAATCCCCAACCCATTGACCTGTTTGAACAGAGTCATTGATGTCGGTGACGACCTCGAATGCAGATTCAACACCATCCTCATCCACTTCGCCTTCGTTCAATGCGTTGACATAGTTTTCTCTCGAGAATCGGAGAACGTAGAAGCTATCCTCACAGGCAAGAGTCACCAATTCTCCAGATTCAGACCAGTAGACCTATTAAGCAATATGTCAGTGCGCGAGGTCATATGACATGGGAGGAGAGGCATGAACTTACGCCCTTTGGTTCGACTTCAATGCGACGGACCAAGTTTCCAGTCTCCCAGTCGAACAGACCAATGCCTCCCTGGCCCTTCACACCAAGGAGAACACCGTCTGAGAGACCCTCCGCCTGGAAACCAACATCAAGACCACCACTCACTTCCTTGAAGTTCTTGAAGATCTTTACGCTGGTTGGCGATTCGCGGATGGCATAGTCATTGCTGTTGTCCTTGGACCCCCACGCGAAATCGAGGGCTTGCCCGAAGGCCTTGTTTCTCCAGGCAAGCGCTGTGTAGATGATGTACTCTCCGTCACCACAGACAGACACAAACCGCCCGTTCGGGGAGTGCGACAATGTCTGCGGGTAGACCTCACAAGATCCCAGATCTTTCGTGGACAGAGAGAGGGGTGAGCCATCCTTGACAGTGGGATCGCCACCCTTGATAACAGTCGACACCACTTCATTGTGCTTGGCCCAGATGACCTTTCCAGAACTGTCCATCGAAACGGCAGGCTCTTCTCTGCCCATCTTGACCACCACAGCACCATCATCGAAACCCATGGCGATACCCTGCCTACCACGCTGGTACGAGACACACCAAGCTCGTTCTAGCCCATAACTCAGCGACTGCTCCAGTCGGTATGTGTTGGCATGCCAGATTTTGATTGTTCCATCTTCGGAACCGGAGATGATCACAGGGAGTTCGGGGTGGTAGCAGGCGAAAGAGACGTTACTCGTGTGTCCTTCGAGAGTCGCAATTAGTGCCTTCGTTGTGTAGTCCCAGACCTTAACGGTCTTATCGTCCGATGTGGTGAGGAGGTAGGGCTTGTCAGCCTGCGGATAGTAGTCGACATGGTTTACACCCTTAGTCTCGTGGGCTTCGAGGGTGAAGTTGGCGTGAGGCGAGCCAAGGCTCCAGATCTTCACCGTCCGGTCCAAACATGCAGAGGCGAATGTGTTGGTGTCCTTCGGGTTGATGGACAAGCCCATCACATAATGACTGTGGCCCTCGAAGACCTGAACGCATTTCCAGCCTCTCTCCCAATCCCAGAGCTTGATTGTCATGTCATCGGATGCGGTCAAAACGAAAGGTTGAGTGGGGTGGACGACGATAGATCGAATGTAGTCGGGATGAGCCTCGAACGACGTGATCTTCTCGGACGTATTGTAGTTGTAAACACGGAGCTGGAAGTCGTCCGAACCGCAAACAATCCAGTTCTTGCGGGCAATGAAGCGTCCAGCTCGTACGGGGACATCGGTGAGTTCGAAGGTTTTAACAATGGACTATGAAAAGAGCTAATTGTCAGTTGTGTCCTCTGCTAGCAATGTCATTATGTTAGAAACTTACCTGAGTCTCGTAGGACCAGATGTATACGTGACCTGTTATTCAATTAGCGCATTGAACCCAAAGCCATTATCGGCAACTTGAACGTACCGCTATATAATGTCGTCAGGATCTAGATCACAGTTAGCACCAAACAAGACAAAGCAAGGTTATAGGTACTCACCCATGGCTCCGTAGGGTGGAAATCAATGCCCTTTACCCGCTCCGAGCGGGCAAAGAGTTGTCTCTGTACGTTACAACGTCAGCAACGGTATTCAATGCAATTCCAGCCACATATCGCATGCTCCTGTCCAGCATGGAGTATAACTTCTGTCCCAGGACTTCTCACCTTGACATCTAAGCGCATATTGAACTATTGTTGGCAGAGAGATGTCTGCGGCGTCGGGGAAGGCCTGCTGCGAAAACGGAGGGGAAATCAGGCCACGAGCCGCTCAAAACAGCCCAGCCCGAGGATACAATTAGAGGGTTCGTCTGGAGAGGGTGTTCGGTCGGGACTATTGAAAGGAGATCACCGGACAGGCAATGGCAAAGAGCAGTAAAGTAGAATTATTCTAAGTAGTGACTGGCGACGCTCAGGGACGATGTGTCCACAAAGGAGACGGAATCCCGCCTAGCGATGGTGGGCTCACCGCCTGCGGTTCTGGGCATCTATGTAACTACATACAAGTATTGGGAGATGGAGATGAATTGAACGACCTGATGATTTGACAGGAGTATGAAATTGATTGAGCGTAGTTTAATGAAGTATAATCCTGGGGACAGTATTGCAACAAGGCTTCAGTTTACCCGGAGACGATAGACCCTACACTACGACAGTTCTGTAGCCAGGAGCAAATGGCAGGCAGGCAATTGAATGAATAAATCTTCTTTTTTTTTTTTGTGTGTGTCATAGTATAAGTGTCACAAAGGTGTCTCTCTTCGAACTCGTGGGCTAATAAATACAAATGTCGTAGTTGAACAAAACCGAATTATGGCGTTTACTCCCGCTCAAAATAGCTCCACTGGCCAGGGCTGGGCTTCTCCTCAAGCTCTTCCCACCTAAAATAAATGTTAGCAAATGCCCAAAGACATTGAATGGCAACCCAGGTTGACCGTCAAAGGACTTACGCTTCCGACTTGTAGATATGGTCGACGAGCTTCAGCTCACCCTCGGCAACCTGGATAACTTCCTCAATGAGACCGGCCCCGATCTGGTTCTCAATCTCGGAAACCCTGATGTGAAGGAAGGATTAGTACGCATTTCTCTCTCATAGAACGGCTCAATTTGACGCAATTGAATGGCAAACATACTGGTCTGCTTCAAGAGCGGGTTCAGCCTCCCACTTCATAGTTTCGTTATAGAAATCGGACTCGTGAGCCTCCTTGGTAGACTCTTCCATCAAATTTTCCCATTGCGCTTCCTGGGCCGCGGTACGAGCGGGGCCTTCGGTCGCCGTCTCGACGGAGTCACCATTCCACTCCTCTCCACGGGGGTTCTCGCTTCCGTCGCTTTGCTGAGAGGCAGCGTACTGTCCGTTTTTCAAAAGGAGACTGGCGAATCGCTCAGGCTCAGTGCCCACGGTCTTCTTCACACGCTCCAACCATTGCTCAAAACCGGGCGGCTTCGTCGACTCGACAATCTGCAGGCGTTGGCGGGTCAATGCCTCGGTGGACTGGCGGTAGACGGACGACTCAGGGAAATGCTGCAGCTTTTCAAGAACGCTCTGGTAAAGGAAGATCAAAGTCGGGCGAGGGCTGGGGTGGGTGAGGAGGCCGGTCAACCCGGTGGGAGCAAACGGCTCCAAGTACCGGGGCTTGACGTTGGCCAACAACCGGAGTGTCGATCTCATCCTGAGAATTGTATGTTGTGTATTAAGACCCGACAGGCGTGGGTGACCGGGTCAATTAAAGATGACGATGTACTCTCGATCTGATTAATGCGATTATCCGCGCCCTGAGAGGACGAAAGGTTGAGGTTCCGCCCCGGAGGCGGAGAAACAAAGTCTCCAGCAATTCGCCTTTGTTAGGGGGCAACTACATACAGCACTCATCTTCAACAACAATCCCCATTCGGGTTCGACCACTTTTCTACAGTATCTCAAGTTATTCGCCGGATCGTGGGTCGTGCACATCTTTGTGCAGCAAATCCGCGGTCGCTGCTGTTCCACATACGCTGACAGCAGTTGCGCCGCATTTCAAGACTGCCACATATGACACTACGCCTGTAAATCGACTCGTCTTGCCCTTCGTTCACCTTATACGCATATTTCCGATTACCGATCCTTTCCTTACGTTGATCTCCCAAGGTTGTGAACCTTGAAACCGCAGCCAGCATGAAACCCTCGACGCTGGTGTGGTCGCTTCTCTCCCTCGTTTCGATTCCCTCGACTTTCGCTGCCGCTCCGGAGGAATCTGAGCATCGTCTGGTAAAAAGAGCCGGCTCGGAGAAAGATGCGAAATCTAGTTCGACTACCTTCAATGGCGTTGAAGTCCCTCCGATGAGGGAGTTGACACCGGACACCTTCCAGGATTTAACGAAGGAGGGTTACTGGTTTGTCAAGCATTTCTCCCCATCTTGTCCTCATTGTACCAAGATCGCCCCAACGTGGCAAACGCTCTACGAATTTTACTATGTGAGTTGAGAGATCATCAAGGTCTTACAGTGGTTGTCTAATCGTTCCCCTAGGCATCAAATCCGTTATCGTCGTCCTCGTCCAAAAGCCCCGACACGCAGTCCTTGAATTCCTTCCAGAAATTCTATGATTTCCACTTCGCATCTATGAACTGTCTTGCCTACGCGGATCTGTGCTCGGAATTGGATGTTGGATACTTCCCCTTGTTTGCGCTGTACCACAATGGAAAGTTGATGGAAAAGTATGAGGGCCCGAAGGACATGAAGGGCATGAGTGAGTTCGTGGAGGAGAAACTGGAACTGATCCGGCCGGGGTCTCGACCTGTGGAAGGCGTCAAACTTCCCGAACCCGGCGAGAAGAAGGTCAATCCTAAGGTTGAGCCTGAAGTTCCAGCCGCCAAGGACAAGAACCCAGAGGGCGGTGCTAAGGCTGGCGAGAAGCACAATGAAAAGGCTGCACAGTTGGCCTCTTCGGGCAAGAAGAAATCGAAGCCGAAGTCGGCGGCTCCTGCGAACCCTCAAGGCATCTCGGTCCCGCTTAGCGCCGAAAGCTTCCAGAAGCTGGTTACGACTACGCAGGACCCCTGGTTCATCAAGTTCTACGCTCCATGGTGTGGCCACTGTCAGGCGCTCGCACCCGCGTGGGGCCAGATGGGTAGAGAAATGCAGCATGTTCTCAATATTGGTGAAGTGAACTGCGATGCGGAGCCCAGACTTTGCAAGGATGCTCATGTGAACGCTTTCCCGACCATGTACTTTTTCCGCGGAGGTGAGAGGGTCGAGTACAATGGACTGCGTGGCCTCGGTGACTTGGTGAACTACGCCAAGAGAGCGGTCGACATCGGATCCGGCGTCCAGGACGTTGATGCGGTCGCTTTCCAGGAGTTGGAGGAAAAGGAGGAAGTCATCTTCCTTTACTTCTACGACCACGCAACAACATCGGAAGACTTTGAAGCTCTGGAACGCCTGACCCTCAGCTTGATTGGACATGCACGGATCGTGAAGACCAATAGTGCTGCTCTGGCCGAGAGATTCAAGATTTCGACCTGGCCTCGTCTTCTCGTGGTGCGAGATGGCCGCCCGAATTATTACAATGTCTTGGCTCCGAAAGACATGAGAGACTTCCGACAGGTTCTCAACTGGATGAGTAGCGTATGGCTGCCCATTGTCCCAGAACTGACTGCATCGAACGCCCGTGAAGTCATGGCCGGCAAGTACGTGGTGCTTGGTATCCTGAGCCGGAGACGCTCCGACGACTTCATCCTTGGCAAGAGGGAGCTGAAAAACGCAGCCCACGAATGGATGGATAAGCAGACTCAATTGTTCCAATTGGAACGAAAGGAACTTCGGGATACAAAACAGCTTCGTATTGAGGAGGCTGACGACCGTGAGGACCAACGTGCGTTGCGAGCCGCGAAGAACATGCGTATCACCATCCGTGAGGATGACAAGAAGCAAGTCGGGTTCGCCTGGGTCGATGGTGACTTCTGGGAGCGTTGGCTGCGGACTACGTATGGAATTGACGTGGAGAATGGCGAACGAGTTATCATCAATGACGAAGATGTGAGTATCTTTCACAAAACCGAAGGAGATGGCTGATACTAACCCGTGCTTCCTAGAACCGACGCTACTGGGACACCTCATCCAGTGGAGCTACCATCATGGCCTCGCGTACTTCGATTCTTGAGACCATCCCTCTTGTCATTGCCAACCCACCGAAGCTTACCCCCAAGTCCACCGTTGGCACCGTGGAGTCTGCATTCTTCTCTACGCGCTCCTTTATCACCAACCACCCCATTATATTCGTCATATTGTTGACCATATCCATCGCCGCGATAATGTTCGCGGCCCGAGGAAGGGGGTCACGGCGCGGTTCTCGGGGTGGAATCATTGGTGCCGGTGGTAGCAGCGGTGGTGGATTCTTCCAACTTGAAGGAAAGGAAGGTCTGCTCAATGGGGGCACTACCGGAAAAGTCGATTAAACAGGAGCGTCAGGGATTTGTATGGATATCTTTTGTTCTCATTTCTTTTTTCTTCTTTCGTTTCTCTTGACTTTTTGGGCTTCTATTGATTTTATTATACGTTCAAGGGATATCTTTGATATTATTGACCTTTTCTAGGTCTGGGAATGGTGTTGGGTATGCGGTGTCGTAGATTAATGTCATTCAGCAAAGAACTAGCACTCAAACACTGTGTATACAGCTTCAATCTTCTTAACAACATTTTGTATAGTTACTTGGAGATCGCAAATGCAACGCATCTGATTTGACCGTTCGGGTAATAGCACGTGACTTCGGTTTCCAAAACACTGATTGGTTGTCGATCGGAGCCTCCCGGTTTTCGTTTCGCCCGCAACCATCATTCGTTCTGCCGCTGTTGTCCCAGACTCAATTCTCGCTCTGCGTGTCTCGAGCTGCTAGATAAGATGGTATGTACTTTCCTTCTGATTTCTATCAGCCCCATGCGTTTCTCTATATCGGCGGTCGGCCCCAGGAGGAACGAGGAGGGGCCCTGGGCTCGACGTTGGAATCGCGTCATGCTCCGACTGACCGACGGACTGCGGATTGGAGATGCTGGACTAGAGTGAAGTATTTTGATAGATTGCTAATTATTGCTCCGGTTTATAGTTCTCGCAAACCGTTAGCCGTGCTGCGGCCTTCTCCGGTCGTATTGGTCCCAAGTGAGATATCCCCGATCCGGCAATTGGTTTTGGTTTGGTTTGGGTTGGTGGGATATATGGTTTGGCACAATTGGCATAGCAGACACCATGCTACCCGAGCTGTGCGTGTCATTGGACTACGGACTGGCGCATGGAGGACTTTAAAATCGCAATATAGGCAAATAGGGGACTAACGACAAGCGATGCAGGTACTACACTCCCACCCACTTCCACGGCCTTGATGCTGGCCACGCCACCAGATAGTGAGTTTTCGAAGCCGATAATCAAGAGTTCCTCGTCTTTAAATAGGTTGCTAATGTGGAATAGCGGTGGTATTGTCAGTACCTTCGGTGTTGCGGCTGGTATCGGTGCTCTCTTCTTCTTCGGCGAGGTTCCCCGTGTACGCCGGGATATCCTCCAGCAGTTCCCCTTCTTCGACCAGTACTATGACCGGAGACTTGCTCCTGAGGACAACGTAAGTTCCTGCCTTCATGCATATTATATAGTGAGAATGTTTGCTGACGTGATCCAGCCGTTCTAAATGCGTTTAATCGGTCTTGTCCGCAGTCGAGTGTTGGCCGCGGACGGTAAGGGACGGCTTGTACTACTGTAGAATAGTGATGGAATTCGAGAGTTCATAGACAACACCCAATCAGTTGTTCTCTTCATATCTTCCTTGCCTAGGCTGTTCTAGCTTTATTAGGCAGGTTTAGCCTGTGCATACGTATTGTCTGGGGTTAATGTATCCGTGTTTTAATGATTGGTTGGTGGAGGCTTATCAAGATAAGATGCATAGGCTCCAAAAGCCGAATCCTCTTCGACGATCATCTGAGGGCTTCAGTCTCTCGGAAGCAGAGTTATAACTTCCATTATCAGTAAGCAACATGACTTGTAATAGTAGCATGGATCCATGGCAAAATATAGTTTCTGCGTCTTATATAGTGGAACGCTACTCGGTACTTTGTAAACGATTATGGCTACACAGTTGAGTCTGAGGATCTAAGTTGGAGTAACCATCACACCTGGACGCATTTATACATACTTCGGAATCAACCGTTCCAACCGATGATCGTCAATCACCTCGAAGAGTAGGGAGCAGACAATGCGCATTCCGATGCGAGATACCCAACCCTGCATCTGGGGAAATGATTCCGCACTGCAGATACTCGTTATCGCTTCCATGCAAAGGATTAATGTAGGCAGATAGGATGTCTACATAAGTCTGATATCGTGTAACCCATGATCGTTTGGTTTGGATTGTAAGATTTCATATGTTATATTAAGCTGGGCTGCAGCTGCTTTTCCTTTAGTGCATTCTTTACCCTTGCATTTATACACGAGAGAAAGGAAAAGAGGAGAAAAGATGAAAATGCCCAATGAAACCAAGCAGGCCTCTGTATCCACCAGTGTTGACGGACATACAACCCCTACAGCAGTCACTACAATCTTGGCAGATGACGATGTCCCGAGTACGTCTACAGGGGGCGCAGACGAGCAGGTCATTGTGGCGTTGGGGTATAAGCAGGAATTCAAGCGGGAGTTTTCACTATGGACGACATTTTGTGTGAGTTTTGCGGTGTTGGGGCTGTTGCCGTCGTTTGGGAGTACGTTGGCTTATGGTATGTTCTCTATATGGTGTCTGGATGTGATTGGGTATGGCTGATGGCTGATGGTTGGTGGTTGTAGGAATGGGATATGCTGGCACGGCGGGAATGGTCTGGGGATGGATTATTGCCATGGTTTTCATCCAGTGTATTGCCATGGCTATGGCGGAGCTTTGCTCGGCGATGCCTACTAGGTATGATCACCAGCCCTATCAAGGATAGTGAGAGCTGACTGGCATAGTGGCGGACTGTACTATGCAGCAGCAGTCCTAGCACCACCCGGATACGGACCATTCGCAGCGTGGATTGTCGGTTGGTCGAACTGGATCGGACAGGTCACGGCCGCACCATCAGTGAACTATTCCCTAGCGGCGATGATTCTGGCTGCGGTATCAATCGAGAACCCAGACTATAAACCGACGGCGTGGCAGACGTTTCTGCTGACAGCGTTGCTATTGGCCATACACGCGGGCATCAGCAGCATGCCAACACGTTGGATAGCACAGTTCAACTCGTATGGTTCGACGTTTAACCTGCTAGCCCTGGTTTCCGTCTTGATTGCGATACCCGTGCAGATAGCCACGGATAACAGCGACAAGAGGCCATGGGGGTTCAATCCCTCATCCGACGTCTGGGGTAACATAAACAACCGCACCGACTGGCCCGATGGTATCGCAGTGCTAATGACCTTCGTCGGTGTCATCTGGACAATGGCGGGTTACGACTCCCCTTTCCATTTAAGTGAAGAGTGCTCGAATGCCAGCATCGCCGCACCACGCGCCATCGTAATGACTTCTGCCATAGGCGGGTTGTTAGGCTGGCTCCTCCAACTCGTTGTCGCATACACGGTCCACGACATCGAAGCCGTAATGAGCTCCTCGCTAGGCCAACCTTGGGCCTCGTACCTGCTCCAAGTCCTCCCCCGCAAAACAGCAATCGCCCTCCTCTCCCTAACCATCATCTGCGGTTTCTCAATGGGCCAGGGCTGCATGGTCGCCGCATCACGAGTAACATACGCCTACGCACGAGACGACTGCTTCCCCCTCTCACGCATCTGGAAGCGTGTGAACACAAAAACCCAAACCCCCGTCAACGCAGTCCTCCTCAACGCCTCTCTCGGAGTCCTAATGAGCCTCCTCATGCTAGCAGGCTCAGTGGCCATTGGCGCACTCTTCAGCATCGGCGCAATCGCCCAGTTCGTCGCATTTGGGATTCCCATCGCCATCCGCGTGCTCTGTGTAGGTGATAGGTTCCGACGGGGTCCGTGGAATTTGGGACCTGCGTGGTTGGGGAGGACGATTGGTGGGGTTGGGGTGAGCTTTGTGGTGTTGATGGTGCCTATTTTGTGTCTGCCTCAGGTTCGGGGGGAGCGGTTGACGCCGCAGTTGATGAATTGGACGTGTTTGGTTTATGGGGGGCCGATGTTAGGGGTTGTGGTTTGGTGGGTTATGGATGCGAGGAGGTGGTTTAAGGGGCCGAAGGTGAATGTTGAGCATGTTTATGAGGAGGGTGGTGAGTTGGCAAGTGGTAGCTATACAGAGTGATTGGGTTCTGAGTGAATTAGCATCTTGTTTGTGAGCGTAGATCAATGGAAATATTGACTATCAATATATTTCCCATGATATACAATGCATATATTTGCATATATTTGCAGCGATTATAGTGCATCTGAACAAAGAATATCTGTAGTTGTCCTGGTATGTGGTTCACCCCGTACTCCGCTCATCTCTTACTCGATGGTATCCATAAATGGGGCAGTTTTCTAGAAGGAGTGGACCAGCTCCATCGGCTTGGACGGTACATCTGATAACCTAGTGTTGTCGAGCACTTTACTTGAACATCTACAGGTTCGTATACCTACACTGCACCCCGTACTCTACAAGAAGCTTTGTGCTCTCTATCGGCATATCAAGCTCACATTTGCCGATGCATAGAATGACTAGCAAGGTTTAGCTTCCGGTGGTCCGTAGAATAATTGAGTATCGACACGCAGGCGATGAACAGGAAGAGGTACTTGCATCTTTACGAGAACTCTACTCTGTACTAGTACTCTGTACGAATACGCGTGCTATTTCAGATGGTAGTAGAGCTTGAGTAGGTACCTTGAGTACGGACGAATGCTTGTGCTTTGATATCCAGGAGATTGGTAAGTTTGGGCTGATCCAGGACCGTGGTTGTACTCTGAGCGTCCATAATTAGAACAAAAGCAGTGATTTTTTACATCCCAGGCACCCTGAAAAGCACTCAATTTTCAATAAAACCAACGTACAAACACTTTATGCCTCAACTTTGCTGATAGCTACTTAATGCTATCATGCTATGTTCACAAAATCATAAGTGAACACAATGTACGTGTATACAACTACAGTCCGTAACAGTGTAATTTGCAAAACGCCGTAACCGCTGACAAACCAAAGTACCAGCGGGTGGCGTGCTAGTCCCACTTGCCCTGTTCTGCGACATTCCCATTGGTCGAATGAGAACCTGAAACCGGCTCCTCGGCGGGAATCCGGGCTCGAAGCAGGAATGGAAACATCGAGTGGGCGTGCCGGAGAAGTCGCCTGCCCGGGTAAAACTGCCGAGGAATTGCCGTGAGTCGGTGTGTACCCTTGAGAGCAGAGTACCGATAGTGGTGCACAAGTATCTTGTAAAGATGATTAAAAAATAAATTAAAAAAAGTAAAGAGAATAGTTGATTGGAATTGGTGCTCTTTTTATTTCGATAATTCTCCTAAATATGTGCATACTATGTAATGTAAAACGCATCGGACAATTCTGCAGCCGGTACCTACCGAATGCGGCCGCCGGGATCGGATAGACAGCTGTACATACGGAGTACATCGGAGTACGAGTATCCCGGACTATCGCTGTACGGCAGATACGTACACTCGATGTACATCCGTACTTGTACTCCGAGTGCATGTTTGTCCTAGACGGTGAACATTCCAGGGGTCCTGCAATGCTTCTTCACCTTAAATATGCTTAGTATGTATAGTCGATCGGACAAGTGCAACGGTCCACAATGGAAGCGGGAGAAGCTCTGGAAAATGGTGGGGATGAGCTAATCTGGTATGTAGGTACGAAGCACTTGTACTGAGTAGTTAAAGTACTTATTATCGGAGCTGACCGTGGCGAGACATATAGCGATGGGCTGATATGTCTGAGTGATCTATCATTTTATCCTGAATGCATCTTCTTTGCATGTATATATCTCTCTCGCCTCGTGATATATATAGGCAGCATATTTCTATCGCGACCGGCAAAAGTACCCCTTTGTCTAGACCGTGCAGGGGTCTGCTTATCCTTGCACAAAGGATTATACCTACAGTATGAAGTCCGTACTCTGTACGGAGTACCCGTACTTCTTAATTGTACCTGATCTATGGGGATAATCACCTGTATACGGAGTAGGTACACTGGAGTACCGTCTATGGAGACCTCCACATCGATAACCTTGATAAGATGACATGTGGGATGTGGATTATTTTGTTTCCAAGAACCTCTGGCGGGCCTTGCGGAGAAGATCTTGACTAAAGACTCCATATTCACTTTGAATTTGATATCTACTCTGTGGTAGAATAAAGAACTCTATAAAATAGCCTTCAAATAAAGTAACTGGATGCGGATACGGACATGTACAACTCACGCTGGGTTCGGACACGTAACTGTACGAGTACATGTAGCTGCATTTCTCTTTGAGACTAATTAGGATACATTCCTTTGCTGCTGCAGAATTCGCAGATACATTTACGTATTGGCAAATCCGTGATAATTAACGCCGTGTACAGAGTATCAAATCTCATACTCTGTACAGAATCATAAGTACAGACCTGGAGTTCTCTACGAGCAGCTCTAATTCTACCGGCTCGACCGGCACTGTCCCGTGACCTGTCTCCGAGGCCCCAGCCGATCTTCACCCGATCCATCCAATCGCTTCCCACCGACACCGCTGCCGTATGTATGTACTGTAATGAACTGTGTATTTTTAAACAAAGGCCTCGATATTTTACCACACCCGTCGCTCTTTCCCTCACCATTTCCCGTTTCTGATCTGTTGCTCTCGTGTATTTTTCTCTTTTGCCTCCCCCGAATTTTTTTTTTTTCTATTCTTTTCTTTTTTGCCGCTCCTCCCCGCCCCTCTCCCCTTCGAATTTTCTCTTCTCTCTTCTCTCTTTTCTCTCAATCTTTTCTTTTCCTTTTGAAACTTCAATCTGAATCTGTCTGGCAATTATTTTATTGTGTTGTTATACGTGATCGACTCTCAGCCATTGCCCAATTCCACTCCCCTGCCCGTACCAGCAACAGCAATTTGACCTGACTGGACTCGACGTGGTGCGTTGACCCACTGCTCCGCCGCCTTTTCCCAGTCAGTTTCTGGTGTGTGTGGATACTCAAGGAAAAAAAACACAACGTGCGGATAAAACTCAACGTTCCCACTTCGTCCCTCACAGCTTGTTGTTATTCACACACAACCTGCCTTTTGCCCTTATTCCCTGTCGTCCTTTTTTCTTTTCTTTTCAGATCCACCACGGGATCTCGTGTTGCTCGACTGCCCGCGTCAAAATACACTCAAAGATCAATTGATCAATTGCTGAAAAAAGACCAAGAAAAGTTGTCGGATCTGAACGCGGTTCCATCGGAAAACGCTCTTTTTGTTTTTTTCTGTTTTTCTTCGCTTCACGATCAATGATCCCGATACCGTGAACAACTTCCCCTCCCCTCAGCCCTATCTATTCAACACAACCCTCACCACTTTCTTTTCTTTTCTTCTTTTTCTTCTCTCTTTTTCTTTTTTTTTTTTTTTTTTTTCGGATTTTTTTGTGACAAAAGAAAGAAATCATGGACCCTCGTTCGCATCCGTCGAGACCTCCCTCCACCAGTTTGCCCCAGGGCTCCACGCCGCTGTCCTCCACTCCTATCTCCAGTATGCCCATGCCGCAGTACACCATGCAGCATCATTATCCTGTCTCTCAGCCCCAGACTTTGCCGCCGCTGCAGCCGCATCATAGTCAATCCCCGGCTCCTCACTCTTACATGGGCCAGCCGCCGTACCGTCCCGACCTGTCTAGGTTCCCGGCATCTTCCCACGATGTCTACGCGTCTTCCGCCGCGCCTATCATGCCGCATACCACCGCCGTTGGCAGCCTGCCTCCCTCGTCCTTTCTCTCCCACCCCAATCCTCAGGCTCAGCAGGCTCAACAACCGTCGCAACACTACCCCCCGCCGCATAGCGTGCTGCCTCCGGCCTCTTCTGCCCAGAGCTATCCCCAGCCAATTGCTCCGGCACCCCCGCGCGATCGCCGTACAGACTATTCCGGCCTCCCCTCGGGTGCCTTTAGCTACCCGGATGGCAAGACTGCTACTACTCCCTGGGTGAACCAGGATCCCGTGGCTAGTGCCAATGGTGGCTCGCCTTACGCTCCTAAGGACTCCCCGCGCACCCAGGTGGTTGGTTCCCAGGGTCGTCGCGGTATCCTCCCCAGCGTTCCCGGACGGGCCACTCCTGTCGCCACCAATACCGTCAATGGGTCTGCCAAAAACACCACGATTCCCGCCAAGGATGCCGATGGGAAATTTCCCTGCCCTCACTGCAACAAGACCTACTTGCACGCGAAGCATCTCAAGCGTCATCTGTTGAGACGTGAGTACTTTTCTGCATTGCCATTGATTCCTTCAAGCTAACGAGGTATAAAGACACGGGTGATCGTCCGTACATGTGTGTGCTTTGCCGGGACACATTCTCGCGCAGTGATATCTTGAAGCGTCACTTCCAGAAGTGTTCCTTGCGACGCGGTAACCCCACGGGTGCCACTCACTTGTCGCACCCCCAGGCCCATTTAAAGCGGTCGCAGGCCGCCAATGCCACCAAACCTATTCAGGATGAAGTCAGTACTACCGCCCCGACCCCCACCACGGGCGTTGCAGGTACGACATTCGGCGAGGGTGCTCCTGCTGCCGCTGGCGTCGCCGCAGCCTCCGTGAATGGCCACGGGCTGGCTAACACGGGCCACCCTGCAACGGGATTTCCGGAACAGCAGTCGCCTCAACCACAATCGCACCACCAGCAGCAGCAGCAGCAGCAACCACAGCCACCTCTGGGCTTTACGATGTCGTCGGTCAACGGGATGAACCATGGTCCTACGGAAGACGCGTTCCCCGCTGGCCAACCGCATCCGCGAGCTTGGATGGCTGCCCCCAAGCAGAATCCGTACCTCATGCAGCCTGGTCCCAATCACTCCATCAGCCAGCAGCTGAATGTTGACCGTCACTCCTTTGAGCAGGTAAATTCCCCGATCGCCCAAGATCCTAATAAGCGCCCGGTAATGCCGGGTGCCACTCATACTGGCGAAATTGACTGGACCTCGATGTTTCAGCCCGGTACCTCCGATGGTTACATGAACCCCGTGTTCCCCCAGTCCATGGCATCCGGTCAGGACTCGATTCACGCCCATGTTGATGCCGACCGCAAGTACTATCCCGCCACTACCGGTCCCCAGGAGGGCGCTGGTATGAATGGTCTTTACCTTGCCTCGACCACTTTGAGCGGTGATGGTACGTCTTTTTCCATGACCAAACTACCTGGCCGTTACTAACTTGATTGCAGGAACCGTTCAGCCTGCTAGACAATGAACTGGGAATTGTGACACACCTCAGCTTAACTGACCTGTCGATGGAGAAACTGGGAGAACTCAACATACTTTTTTTTTTTTTTTTTTTTTTGAATGCTGATCAAAACGACATTTTATTTTATCTATATGCATCTTGTTCTAACGGTTTTTTGTCTTCAGGGCTCTCCAAGATTTTTTACTGGGCTAACCATTGGGAATACTTGAGAATTGCCTGGCGTTTGTTATCCCTTTTCCATCTGTGATCTCGATTCTGTCGGGACTAAAATCAATATGGGGTTGATACGACAAGATCTACGTGCTACTATTCCAACGCGGCGTTCTCGATCTGGGGATTTGTCTTTGACTGTTTTTTCTCCCTTCTCCCCATCGTGGTCCTGATGTGTCCGTCCCGGGTTGTCACGAACAACTATTTCTCTATCATATTCTTCTGATCAGCATTTTCTACGCGAGTTGAACGACGCGGTTGATTTCGAATTGGGTTGATCCTATTTCTTTTTCTTGTTACTTTCTCTTCTCCCAACCATTATGAGTGGGTAGATGGGCTGGTGTGTGTCTTGTCTGTCTCTGTGGTTTATCCGGCGTCCAAACATAGACCTGGGCATGTGTTTTCTTTTCTTCTGGACAAGAAACCTCGAGGGAAGGATTGTTGAGTTGTGGTTTTTTTTTTTTTTTTTTTTTTTTGATTGTTGATTGTTTTTTCTCTTTTCCTTCGCATGCCTTCTCTCGAGGAAAATGAGTTTCTGTTTTATTTTTCATTTGATCTGCGGGCGTTTGATATTGTTTTTATTGCCATTCATCAAAACTTGTAAGTAGATTCGACAGAGTGCATTTCTCTGCACGGGACATATGACAGCAGCCGAGAGGCTTTATCTTGATTTCCAGTGTACATACTGCATTAATTACTATAACTATATAACTCATTATTGTATTCTCCGTCCACGTGCTGGAGTAAGCATTTGTTTCCCCACTTTTGATTGGCCCCCGGCGGCGATCGGGAAACCCCGGAGCGGCCTTTTTAATCCTCGTCTGAAGTCATCCCCAGAATCTGAACCCACTCTCATCTTCCCCGGATTCCAGTACTCTACTCTATTCTGTTGAATCTCTCTCATATCTGTAGGACATTTCTCTTAATTTGAAACACTCTCAGTGACACTATGTCCACAAACAGACCCTTCCTGGCCAACTTCCTGGCCGCCTTTCGAGCCCAATCCTCATCCAACTTCAAGGCCTCTTCCTCATCTACCACCGTCTCCTCCACCACACAAAACGCGAGAACTATAGCTACCAAGGCTAGTTCACCTTCACCTAGTCCTTCATCTCCTTCAGCTTCGGGCTCGGCAACAGCAGCAGCAGCAGCCGCCGCCGCCGCATCCGCATCCGCTACAGAACCAGGGTCCTCACCGAACACCACCACAAACCGCTCCTCCTCACCAACAACCGAAACCTACCCATCCTCCTCCTCGCCCATCCCCATCACAAACACCAACGCCAACGCCGCCGCCAACACACCCACAGTCTCAGAGTACCACCAGCGCCGCCGCGGAAGCGACAGTTCCAGCGGCTCCGGAGGGGGTAGCGGCGGCGGAGGATTCCGCGATGCTCTAGGCCCTGAGAAGTGGTATATTGGGGGACGATCGCCGGGTGGGGAGGAGAGGTTTTATCGGTTGGGGATGGTTACGAAGGGGGGTGGGAGATTAGGGGCTATGGCTAGGGTGGGGAGTTTTGATCAGTTGAGTTTGTGAGTGTTGAGCATTTCGCATTTGGATGAGAGTGGATTCGAGGTGTCATTGTTATTTTCGGGTTACATATAATATTTGGGTTGTGGTTTCGGGGTATTTATGAAAGGCATGGCGTGGTGGTGTTTTTGCACTTGCACTTTTTTCTAAAAAAGATATTCAACATTTTGTTTTACTTTGGGCTGTTGCGGGATACGGAGCAATGCCGTGTACATACTGACATACTAAACTAACATTGATGATATGAATGACATGAATAATGACTACCACTACTTAGATAACCTGTTGAGTCACACAATGCACCACACCCCCCATGAGAGGCAAAGCAGAGAAATAAACCTGTCGAATCTTGCGCTCCGGCGAAACGATCCCACGCAGCGTCTCAACAGCCTTTCGATCCCGCTTCTCATCCCCAAACGCAGGCAAAATCAGTCCCCCGTTCACAAAGTAAAAGTTGACATACGTCCCTGCCGCCTCCTCCTGCTCCTTTTCCACCTCCTCCCCACCCTCCTCATCATAATCCCCACCCCAACCCACCAGATCCGGATCCGCCGCCTCAAGCTCCACAACCCTAATCTTCCGTCCCTGCGCGTCCGTCTCCCGTCCCAGAATGTCCTTGATTTCCTTGTAAATCTCCGTTTCCGCCTTCCCGGTCTTCGGATGCGGCTTGTTCTGCACCACAACCCCCGGCTTAATGAACTTCACCTCTCCATCAACATGACAATCCGTGATATCCAACCCCGTCCGCCCAGGGAACCAAATGATCTTGCTAACCCCCAGCAGAGCGCGCAGGTGCGACTCAACAGCCTCCCTAGTGTTGAGAGCACTCGAAGGATTGCGATGCGGACAAATAATCGAACTCTCCGTTGCCAGGAAAGTCCCCTCACCATCAACCTCAAGAGCACCCCCTTCAAGACGAAGCGGCGACACAACCCTTTCCACCTTCGTTCCGTTATCCATCTCCTGCTCATCGAGATCAAACTCCCGTTCCAGGACCCTCTTTGCAAACCGCGCATTCTCCCAGTGCCGATTATCAGGTGCCGCGTAGCCTTTTCTGGAGACTGGTGAGCGCTCATCGGCTTGTCCGTCGGATTCTTGGCCAAGTGGTTCGTTGCGCACGTCTACCTCGCGGAGGTTCTTGCCGCCCCATTCGCAAAAGCCGAAGTCGATGGCGATGCGGCGGGTGGGGTTTGCTTTGTCGAGGACGTAGACTGGGCCTGTGTCGCGGACCCAGGGGTGGTTTGTGGGGGTGAGGTGGAAGGTTATGCGGGAGAGTTGGTATTGTGGTATATCCTGTTCTTTGCCTTTGTCTTTGGTTCTCCGGTTCAGGAGACTGAAGCGCTTTTTGGCTTTCTTGGTTTTGTTGTTGGTATTGGTATCCTCGAGTTTCTGAAACCGTTCATTCAAGATCTGTCTAGCGAGACTTTCATCCTCGGGGCGTATGTACACACGCACAGGTTCAAACTCCGAGATAACAACTGCAAGATCCATGATCTCATTGCGGGTTTGATTGAGCAGGTCCCTTGGCACGGCGTGGGTAGACGGGAAGCCGAGGATGGTGGCTTTGTGGGGAGCCGTTTCGGCTGGGTAGAAGAGGGTCATGTTTGTTGATAAAGTTGATAAAGTTAAAGGTGACGGTGTTGTGTTGGTAGCGGTGGTGAGTAGTTGGTATGATTGGAGGGATAGAGGATGGTTTGGGGGTGGGGTTAGGGGTTTGAATAGAAAGTTGGATGTTGAGATTGGGAGGATGGAACTCAGACTCAAGAGAAAAAGAGAGACTTTGAATGGGAGGCGGGTGTTGCGGATGTTATACATTATGATTAAGATAGAATAAATAGAAAGATGGAAGGTGAAGGGGTCAAGGCGGGTTTATATGCTTTATATAAAATATAAAATATACCGGTTGTACACCCCATCACGACTGCCTGGGAGAAGGGACATGGCATTGCATTATTCAGGTTCATTCGGATTTGGCGTCCAATGGTTATTATTATATTTAATATTTATTGGGATTGGATGTATGGTACCGGGATTTGCCGTCAAGTGCAGATACAGGCAGATATGTACATGCTATTCAACTATCCAACAACCGCTCCTGCTCCTCCTCTTCACTCTCACCCTCACGATCCCCAGTATCCCTATCAGGCTTCCCACTAAGCCATAACATCGGTACAGCCGTAACACCCGCAAGAACACCCAACGACCACGCCGTACTCTTCCACCCAAACCGATACGTCACAAACCCACCCCACAACGGCCCGAGGAACAGACCCGAAAACTGCGCCATAGTCTGGATCCCAAATGCTTGCGCAACAGCGCCCTTCTGGCCGAAGATCCCGGGTTCCGTGCGCTCCATGTCTTCGAGCAATTGTTGTGTTTCGACGAAGAGGGCCGGGACGGCGCTATTGAGGAGGGCGCCGATTATGGTGAGGAGAGTTATGAGGAGGATTTTGTGGGCTGTGTCGTTGTGTTCGACGAGGTAGAGGCAGACTAGGGGTGGGGAGAGGAGGAGGAAGCTCGTGAAGGCTACGATGCGGTTGCCGTGTTTGTCGGAGATGTAGCCTGGTATTTTGTTAGCTGGTTTTCTTGATAGAATGGGAGGATGGCTGTACCGAAGTAAGGCTCGAAAAGGGCTGTGATGGCGGATGGGAGGAATGTCATTCCGGCTTCAAATGGGGTCCAGCCGTATGTCGACTCCACGAAGATGGGAATTGTCTGTAGTCGTTAGTACACCATACATACTTATGAGACAGAGGACGTACCGCATCAAAAGCAGAGAATAGTAATCCCTGCACCAACAAAGCCCACAACGAAATGAGCACCCGCGGCTGCCGGGCAATCTCCAACAGAGCAAACTTGCCCTTGTCCTCTTCAACCCCCGCAGGCTCCCCAGGGAACGTGTGATAACCACCCACAGACGAATGCACATGGCCATTCCCATTCCCATTTTCCTCGTGTTCAGTGCTAATCCACCGCCGCGCCACCTTCTTCTCAACAACCCCCACCCGCATCACCAAATCGACCCCGATAATCGCAAACGCCATCGCAAACACCGCATTATACCCAGCTGCATTATACACCAACCCACCCAGCAACGGTCCAAGTAGGAATCCCAACGTAATCGCAGACCCCAAATACCCAATCGTCTGTCCCAGATTATCAAACTCCACCGCATCGGTCATCAGCGCCAAACCGGCCACGGCAACCATCGCCGTTGCACCGCCCTGGAGTAACCGGGCAACGACGAAGAGCCATACTGTGTGTGCGACGGAGAGCATCCCCATAGATGCACCGAGGAGGATTAGGCCGAGGAAGAAGGGGTATTGACGGGTTCGTGAGACGTCGACTAGGTAACCGAATATAGGGCAGCAGACGAGGGCGACGGCGGCTTCGCACATGAGGAGGACGCTGACCCAGTATTCTCCTGCATCTTGTTAACCACCGTTGTTATTCCTGGTATGTTTCTGGGAAGGTATCGTACGGTCTTTATATGGGACTCCGGCTCGGTCACTCAGCGCGGTTGGCATTACGGGAACGATCTGGGCTTTTTAGTGGCCCAATAAATCAACCATTGAATTTGTGTTTCTGCTCACCATCGCATAGAGAAAGTAATCCTATTCACAGACACCAGTTAGTCTTGTGGCAAGTAGTCGCGTCAATTCCCAGACTTACAGTAAAACACGACATCCACACCGTCGCGATAATAAACCCCGTCGACGATCGAAACCGCAGCATCCACGGAGGATGCGCGTTTTTATTCGTGGCCATATTGGATGTCCTGCTGAATTCTTCAATTCGAGAAGAGATAAAAACGGCGGCGGTGGAAAAAGTTGACGAAAGACGAAGGCGAAAAGCCAATTGCACCGCTTTTCTTTTTCTTTTGACACTTGTCGTGGCAATCAATTCAGCTCATCCTCTCAGCGATCGACAGCTGTGGCTTCTAGCAGGAAACGATCGGATTTGCTTTTGGTTGATCGCGGTGGAACTTTTGTTCGTCATGGCGGCCGAAGAATTAAATTGACGCTGGGGTTCGGATTACTCAGGAATTCAGGCCATAACACCAAGCATTGTCAACAACCTGCATTCAAGAACAGAATGAGAGAATGCATTTACAAGCTAGAGATGAAGGTATCGAAGTCAGTGAGGTCATGGTCCGATAATCAAGGCTCGATAAGCATCCGCCTCGGCGCCGTGAAGACTTGCACGGACACCGAGCTTACAGGGACCTCCAGCCTTCAATCTACGCGCGCGTATCACACTTCCGACGACGGAGTACATCGACATCGAGACCATCCAGCACACAGACCTAACGTCGCTAAATATTTCCCAGTCAGTCCGCTTCGCAATATCTGATCATACAGCACTTCTGTGATGCTGTACGGAGCGAGCACAGAATCCTCATGATGCAACTGAACTCGTTGGTGTCTGCCGTCAGCGACTGGGAAAGAGTAGTTTCCTTGCTCATGAAGCGAAGAATTAATAACTAGTCATGGGTGATGCCTGAATCGCTCCTTAGGGATTTGATGTCTCATGCATTGTGCCCATGCTGCTGCTTGGCTACCCCTGCCCGCCTGCAAAGCTGCATCTGGCTCATCCCACGCTAATAGTACAATCCCTGCGCCGTGCTGAATATGATGTTATTATGCACATATGTTAGCTCAGAGCGCTCCAAGGTCGGTAGCTGCAGTTCGTCATATCTAGCAAACAAACAACTCGGTTTCAGCACTGCATTCCGTATGCATATTCAAGGGACCGGGACATGAGGCTTCTTGTAGCTGCACGGAGTGGCCTCCCTAATAATGCCTCGAATATTCGACTGCGTTTCTCTCGCTGATTCTATTTCCCGGTCATTTTTCACCGGGTTGTATGCTGTGCTCCCTAGTCGTCCAACATTACTGTCTTTCACGTCTCTGACCCATATTTCCACCTCATCTCACGAGGCATTTAAAATTCATCCAACGGTGTGCTGGCATGCTCAATCCAAATGACATGTAGATTCCAATCTGTCCTGAGGCTTCAAGACATGTGGAACCGTTTTGGTGCATTTTGTCGTACTCGGCTCATCATCCGATCACATCTCCCGATGGAAAATGTACACTCGATTGAGTACCATCGAGAACATCACTCAGTTTTCTGGGTTCAGACATCTCATGTAGCGACGAACATATCCCATCGGATCCACAGCGGCAGTGCATCTGAGAGGCCCACCGACTCTCAGTACATTTTCTCGATTCGACCTGTCACCAAACAATCCGAAAAATGACATGATTGGCAACGGAACACAAATCCTCGTGTATTTCGTACTTTCCCTTGTCCGTGCATGAATAGGGGTCCAGGCCTCCACCAAAAAGAAAGTAAACAAAAACGCCATTTTGTTGCACATCCCCCGGCATCCGGCACGTACACTATAACCTGAATAGGGAAGTTCGACAAATCTCACGGCATCAAACCATCACGAGTTGTGTAAATCCATAAGGCAAATAGATTCCAAACCTTCGAAAAAGCCCATACTTGTACACAACATCGCGAGCCAGCCAGTAAAGAACAGCAGAGGGGGGTTCCGTAAACAAGCTCTCAGCTCTGGCGACGATCCTTTGCACCAATGATGCAGCCATTGCTGGCGCGCAGTCTCAGCTCACCACATTTCAGCTCTTTCATTTAAAAATCCACTGTTCTCGCACATAAATTTCAATATGATTCTGTGTTCAGTTTAAGTGCGTTTATGCACCTGGTCCTTTTTCCCAATTCATATAGTATCATTGCTCTTTTTGCATTCGCCTTGAGTTGATTTGATACGCCACATACGTATATTCGACTCCGATGGTCCTCGTTGGTGATAAAATGAAGCTCCCCAGCGCATTCAGTCCAGATGAACTGGCAACGTTCGTCATCCAGGCCCGCCTGGCGCTGTTGGACAATGAATCAGGCAGTGTAGAAGACGACGAACCATTCTTTGTCGCAGATCTGGGGCAGGTATACCAGCAGCATCAACGGTGGACTCGTAGTTTGCCTGCCGTTCGACCATTTTATGGTCCGTATGGCTCCTTCCTATGCTACTTTATTCCTTGAGCGTCGCTAATGGATAAGAAAGCGGTCAAATGTAACCCGGATCCGACACTGCTGGGGTTCCTCGCGGAACTAGGCACTGGATTTGACTGTGCCTCGATTGACGAGTTGAGGAGAGTTCGGAATCTGGGGGTGGATCCATCCCGGATTGTCTTTGCTAATCCATGCAAAGCAGCGTCTGCATTATGTACGGCACGGGATATGGGTGTGACCAGTACGACTTTCGATAACTTGGACGAGCTAGACTCGATCAAACAGTTCATGCCCAATGCTCAGCTGTTTTTAAGGATATATGCCAGTGATGACGATGCGTTGATTCAGTTTGGTGACAAGTTTGGTGCTTCCCCCGAGGCGACGACGGTATTGCTTGAACGAGCCTGGGATCTGGGCCTTGAAGTTGTGGGGCTTAGTTTTCATGTTGGTGGGTTCTGACGCTGCATTCTTGAGAACTCAATGATAGTACGGTGCTAACAGAATGCCCAGGCACCGGAGCAACCAACCATCAGTCATTCGTCGACGCCATGGAAAGAGCAAAGACCGTCTTCGACCAAGCCGCTCGAATCGGGCATCATCTGCAATACCTCGACATAGGCGGTGGATTTCAAGACGCAGGCTTCGAGCGCATGGCATCCAGTATCAAAGAAGCCCTGAAGCTATACATGCCTCCAGAGGTCCGCATAATCGCAGAACCCGGACGGTTCTATGCCCGTAATGCATACACACTGGTCTGCAAAGTTATCTCCCGACGACGCCAGATTGGCAATGACAAGTCCAGCCCGGACATGCTGTATCAGAATGATGGCGTGTACGGCAACTTTATGAACGTCCTGGTGGAGAAAGAGATCATGTGTCCGTCACTTGTAGCACCGGCACTCAGCTTGACAGCCTCTCGAGCGGATTTGTCACGGGAGCACGGAGATCACTGGTATAGCATCTGGGGCCCGACTTGCGACAGTGTAGATTGCGTGACTCGCGAGATGCGGATGGATTCGGAAGTCAAGGTCGGGGATTGGCTGATGTACAAGAACATGGGAGGTGAGTTTTGCATCATCCGAAACGATAAAACCAGGCGATTGACCTGAAACAGCGTATACCATGGCAACCGGCACACGATTCAATGGCTTTGAAGCCCAGCATCCGGTCATATATATCAACAGCGAGTCGCAGACGGGAGACGAGGGGATGCTGCCTCTTGGGATGACGGAATCGGTGATTCAATATGATACACGGTCTGGTCAGCCTGAGATTATGTTCTGTTCAACCTGATTCGTTCTTTGCGTTGTTTTAAGAATGTATGTAATGAATAGCATTTGCAAGGTTCGTAGCGGTTAATATGTCCAAGTTCAAGTCCCGTAAGAGAAGGAACGTAGGCAGATCAGCCCACACTCACATAAAAGAAAAGCAAAAGAGAAACTAGCGAGCAAAGCGACAGACGATATTCAAATACTACTGTCTCTGCTGATAAGAACCAGCTCCTGATAACGAGATAAGAGCTCCGTTGGATACGGCCGTCGTGCGGGCACCGGAGGTTGCCGATGGCCGTGGGATACAAACCGCGTTTCTGCAGACACCGCCCATGCTATAAAAGGCCACGAGTCACTTTTGAAATGTCTTAAGAAGAGAAAACAAGAAGAAACATCGGACTGGATTGTTGGTGATCCAAATTGTAGTCTGATAGCTATCCTTATCAGTTGACAACTTCCCCGCAAATCGCCTATCTACGGCTTAGATCCAGTTCTCTACGCTTTCTATACCACTATCCCGAAATCATCATGTCCTCTCGACTATCCACAGCTCGCTACGGCAAGGACAATGTGCGCGTCTACAAAGTCCACCGGAATCCCGAAACAGGCGAGCAGACCGTGGTCGAGATGACCGTCTGCGTGCTATTGGAGGGAGAGATCGATGAGTCGTAAGTATTTCTTGTACTAATCACCATGAGACGAATACAAGCTAATATCGCGAAGATACACCAAAGCAGACAACAGCGTCATCGTCGCAACCGACTCCATCAAAAATTCCATCTACATCCTCGCCAAACAACACCCCGTCACACCCCCCGAGCTGTTCGGCTCCATCCTAGCCTCCCACTTCATCCAAACCTACCCCCACATTCACGCAACCCACGCTACCGTCGTAACCCACCGCTGGGCGCGCATGGACATCGACGGCAAGCCTCACCCGCACTCGTTCGTCAAGAACGGCGAGGAAACGAGAACCGTGCAGGTGGATGCGACAGAAGGCGTGGGGATCGACATCAAGACGGGTATCCGCGGCTTGACGGTGCTCAAGAGCACCAACTCACAGTTCTGGGGGTTCTTGCGGGACGAGTATACCACGTTGCCGGAGACTTGGGATCGCGTGCTGAGTACGGATGTCGCGGCTGATTGGCAGTGGAAGCGTTTGAGGGATCTGGAGGATGTTCGTTCAAATGTGCCTAAGTTCGATGCTACTTGGACGGCGGCAAGGGATATCACCCTTAAGACCTTTGCGGAGGATAACAGCGCTAGTGTTCAGAACACGATGTACAAGATGGCGGATGAGATTCTGGCGTATCAGCCGCTAGTTGAGACGGTGGAGTATTCGTTGCCGAACAAGCATTATTTCGAGATTGGTATGTTCCCTTTTTACCCTGTCGATTCATGGTACCTGGATTCTAACTTCTTCGCAGACCTCAGCTGGCATAAAGACCTAAAGAACACGGGTGAAAATGCCGAAGTATACGCTCCGCAGACCAACCCCAACGGTCTGATCAAATGCACAGTGGGCCGGTCATCCCCCGACCAAGTCAAGGGGAAGTTGTAGATATACGTCCATCTATGGATCGATATTTAATATCAGCCATTGGCGTAGTTTAGTTGTCTAGATAGGGTATTCATTTTGGCGTTCCTATAGTACAATAGCATCACTTCAGTCCGACAACGGTCATCCTGAGTAGAAAAGACATAACTGACTCGTGGTGTAGTATAATCACAAAACGCCCACCGATGCGCTTGATCATGAAAACAGTAAAGGAAATAAGGATTACAGATAGAAAGAAGAACAAACAACCGGCAATTCTCACGACGACGCCTCCTTGGCGGCCTCAGCCTTGAAAGCATGCTGAACTTCAGGCAAGCCTCCAATAACCGACTCGTTGCCGTACTTGATGATGTTCTCCTTGTACGGATGATGAACACCCTCGAAGGCTGTAACAGGTTAGCTAAACCCCCCAATGAAATAGCCCAGAGCAAGCACTCACTCTTCAACCGTGCCAACCTCTTCGACTGTAACCGATTCTTCGGCAACATCCCCTTAACCGCCCTTCGCAAAACCTCCCCACCACCCCATTTCTCAATCATCTTGTCCATAGTCATGCTCTTCAGACTACCGGGCCGGGTGTTATGTGTATAGTACAGCTTCTGGAACCGCTTCTTCCCCGTTGTCCGCAGGTCATGGCAGCCAACCGCAACGACGTAGTCGCCGCAGTCCGTCGACGGGTCGAAGATGGGCTTGTGCTTGCCCATTAGGAAGAGGGCGATGGAGGAGGCGACGCGGCCGAGGGAGCGGGGGTCGGAACCGACGTCGACATGGTGCCAGGCGCGAGAGTAGGCAAGACGGGTCTAAATGTAATTGTCAGTATTGTTATACGGACAAGCAAGTCATGAGGCATAGCTTACTCTTCCGACGGTTTGCGACATGTTTGTATCTTCGGCCCCAGCGACGAGGGCAGTTTATTTCGAACGAAAGACGTAGAATGAATCAATGTGTCACCGGCAATCAAGGTAAACAAGTAATAAACCAATTCAGCAACAATGGCCCTCAACCAAGCCTCTTCTCTATCTTCACTCTTCTCTACCTACGTCCGCCTCCTCCGGCCCGACCAACGCGGAACTTTCCATATCACGTGATCTCCCACCGCCCGCGGCCGAGCCCTAGACCCAGGCGCACTAGCGCCGCACACTAAGCGAAAACCTGCCCGCACGGAACAATCTCGATTCGAGCGACCAAGCAATAATCTCGACAACTTTACAGCACACTCCCTCTCTCGACAACCGACAAGGGCCATTCTATCACCATGGCTTCCGTCCCGAGTGTGCAATGCTTCGGCAAGAAGAAGACGGGTATGTTTTGGATTTTTTTTTCTGGGAATTTTGAATGGGGTGGAATTTTTGTGGGATCGGAGTTGCTAACGGGATTTTGATTATAGCTACCGCTGTCGCCCACTGCAAGGTATGAGAATACTTTTTCCTGATGAGTCCTGTCCTTGTCCTTTCTACGAGCGATTGGCGATACGAGTGGCGTCGAATGGAATGGTCGGAATATGGGAACGGGGGGGGGGGGGGAATATATATATATATATATATTGAGGATAAAAGGAAGGAACCGGTGGAAGGAAACCAATCGCTCTCGCTCTTGAATTCACACATCGCCTGGGATTTGAAACGAATACTGAGACTGTGATACAGCAAGGCAAGGGTCTTGTCAAGGTTAACGGCCAGCCCCTCTCTCTGGTCCAGCCTGAGATCCTCCGCTTCAAGGTACGCCGCAACCAACGCCTTATCGGATTTCGGAAAGGAGGGACAACAATCTAACGAAAAGTGATGAATAGGTCTACGAGCCCCTCCTGATCGTTGGCGCCGACAAGTTCGCCGGTGTCGACATCCGTGTCCGCGTCTCCGGTGGTGGTCACACCTCGCAGGTCTACGCCATCCGCCAGGCCATCGCCAAGTCCATCGTCGCCTACTACCAGAAGTACGTTGACGAGCACTCCAAGAACCAGCTCAAGCAGGCTCTTGGCCAGTACGACCGCACACTGCTCGTTGCCGACAACCGCCGCGCCGAGCCCAAGAAGTTCGGTGGTCGCGGTGCCCGCGCAAGGTACCAGAAGTCCTACCGTTAAACGGGCAGATCGACACACCGGTACATCTTTTTTACGAAAAAAAAAAGTTTATCTACAAAATACGAGAAAGAGGGATTACGAACATGTCCCCTTTTTCAATGGTGTTGGCTCTGCTTCGTTTGGCGGTGGTTTCGGTTGGGAGAGAGGGATCATTGGGCGACCGAGAAACGTCCTGTTCATGGTGTTGTGGCAGTTGATTGGGTTTACTGGCTATTTCTCGGATGGATTTAGTATAGGCCAGGAATCTGAAATATCACCCCGTTTTCTGTTTTCGTCTGTTTAAAACAGGGAGCCTTGCATTAGTGTTTTATCTGGGTCTGGAGTTGGCAATAAAAGAAGAGCCTGCAACGCATACCTACGACCCTTCGTATCCTCATTCTAAAGGGCTACGGTAGTTGCATCTCAAGAGTAAGATCGTATAATTGCATTCTACTGCGTAACTGACCTAAAATAGACATTACAAAGCCAAGTGACCAAAGCATGGCGGGACCGTGGCGGAGAGCTAAAAAGCATAACATAGGGTATATCATAAGACGAAGATCACTCCCATACCGTTCAAGTGTTGTCAGACTTTGTCTGCCCAGCAGACACCGCCGTTCACTGAAGAATGACTGTCCAAGTCATCGTGGATATTCTCGTAATCATCCTCTTCTTCGTTCTCGGTCCCACTAAGGGAGAGAAGCTGGAAGCGATTTGGGCGCGAAACTGGCTTAGTTGGTGCTGGATGCATGTCCTTCTTCGGCGTGATCTTGGCCAGGGGTTCGGAACATTCATCTGGGTAAAAGGCAATCCTCATGCCCTTGTACGTGCGGCGGGACATCATACACGTACGTGCAAACAGAGTATTGTGGACGGAGTTCGTTGAGATGTATGCATTGCCATGATGGAACTTGACGGAGATGACAGTGAGGTTATGAATATGGTCAAGGTCCCTCCGAATCAACTCTTCTGTGATAAATGGGCTGACGTTGTTGATGACCAGGACCCGGGAAGCCCCTCCGTTGATTTTGGCTCTGACATAAGAAGGAAGGTAGAATTGACGGTCACTCCACGCTGTATCTACCTGCAAGTGACCATTAGCTCATCACGCACGACGAAGTAGAAGGGATGGGTCAACATACGCGCTTACCGGCCACATGAAGGCCGCTTAGCTTTGTATGACGCAAAAAGGCGTATGCCGCACTCTCGTCAACGAAAGATACATTTGCAAAATGGTCGCGAGCTCGAAGGTAGATGTATAGAAGAGCACCACCCCTAATGGCGTCGGTAATGTCTTCATGAGTGACCCGTTCTGGTAGGTTACGGATCAAAACAGTTCGCTGACCAGTAGAAGATTGTTCGCCTTTCGAGATATCCTCGGAATAAACTTTCTCTTTGCTATTTGGCGAGACAATGACGCCATCCTCCTCGTCCTCATCCTCGTCATCTTCTTCAAAATCGTCAAAGCTACCAGGTACTTTGTAGTCATTGATCGTGTCTTTATCGTCCTGGTACTTGTGAATATGAGCCGCAGTTTCTGTAGGATTCGAACCGTTGGTATGTCCGTTGGATTCAGCGGGTCGTGCAGCAGCGTTCTCGTTATTGTGGTCGTTATTCTGAGACGGGGGCTTCGGTTGTGCTCGCGCACCGTAGATCAATATCTATAAAACAACGTATCAGCAGTGTCAACTGTGTTTGCAACAGCGAGGCTTACATCAAGGGTTTCCTGCGACAGTCCCCCGTTCAGAAGCGAGCCTTTTAGCTTTGCTGGATGGTGTCAGTCAGACTCGATATAGGTATCAAGGTGTATGTGGATGGTATACCAAATTGATACGACGCTTGGAGCTGGCAGAGGTTAGCTCTTCAAGTCGTGCTCGTCCATGAAAGGTAGAGCTCACTAGATTCTCATATTCCAGCTTGGAAATAGTAACTGTATTGAGGCTTTGCGGCATGACATCTTGAGGTGGAAAATACTGTTTCAGGGCGATAAGTGACTGAGGTATTGTAGCTGGAACGAAGAATTGCACTCACCATTTTGGACCTGTCAGGAAGTTGATAATTAGTTCTGAGTCTAGAAGACAAGAAGATAACGGAATGACTTACAGAGACTGATAGTAAGTCTGTTCCAGAGGAAAAAGAGAAGAAACTTTGGCCATGATTATCTCGCAGTGACCGGTCTGATACGGCAGAAAAGTTACAATAGGAAGTCATCCAAAAAAGGAAAGCGGCAGAGGAGAAACCAAAACAGAAAGACTTGGAAGAAAAGATGTACCGGTCTTTTTATGTTTCTGTATGTATGGCATAACTACTAGTCTTGGGCAGATAAAGAGGAAGTCTCACAACGTCACTCTACGTTGGCTCTGCAGCGTGTCTTTTGGTGTTTTGCATGCTGTTCATGCATGACCAATCAGTTCAACCGGTTTACTATCAATATATATTCAGTCATCTAGACTATCTACAACTCCAATAAAACACTGCCAGCTGAAAGTACTGGTGACAGCAATGGTGATGATGATGTGATAAGATGAGCAGCAGATCAAGTCATAGGGCAGTGTCTGAGCATAGTGTACGGTATTGTACGGTACGATACGGTAAATATGCACAAGAGCGTATAAGTGGGTATAAGACGGCATATATATATCCAAAAATAGTCTAGTTCCGGCTGTAGGTGGATCCATACGGCCCGCCATGCGTACAAGTCACACGATGGTTGGCCCGTGACCTGCCACTGTCTGGGTCCGTGTACTATGTATATAATAGTCGGTATTTTTCCCCGCAGTCCTTTTCTGCGTGTAACAGAATATTATATTTTTGCTTAGAAGAAGGAAAAAAGAAGAAAGAGAGAGAGAGAACAAAAAAGACAGGAGTGTTGAGACAGAAATAAGCAGATGTTGCGAATTGGCATATAAAATGTATTTCCCTCCCTCTTCCTGTTCCTCGTCGTCGTCGTCCTCTGTGTATCCCTCGTCCCAAGGATCTTCCACCACCAGTTCCTGTAAGTTTGCCCTCTCATCCAACTGTCATTCTTCTGTATGGACAACATTCTTCTCTTTCCCCTCCTTCTCCTTCCCATTCTGCAGTTGAACACGTGTGGCATACCTTCTTAGTTTCATGATTGCTGATCGCGTGTTTTCTTTCCAGCCTCACATCGTGGATACCGTCAGCCGAGCTTAATCTCCAGACCATCGCTAACTCACCCCACACCCGTTTCGTTGTCTTCCTTGCGCGATCTGACAGCGACTTCCTCGACTTATAATCCTCCATCTTCCTCCTCCTCTTCTCCTTCCATCTGTTCTTCTCCTACACGTTCAACTTCGCCGACCACTGCTACTGCGGATAGTTTGGACTCTCTTAACCTCTCAAGCTCCTCTTCCCGACCCATCCCCATCCCAAAACCGGTTTCTACTGCGGACCTCCCCGTCACCCCACTGACCGGCCGTTTCGAAAAAGGTTATTATTTCGCACCGCAGCAAACCGATCAATCTCCTCCGTCTGAGAGAAAACCATCTTCGCATAAAAACATCAAAAACCTCGACCCTCACGGTCGTCACCGTCGCTCTCACCGTCGTCATCATCATCATCATCATCTTCACCATCACTCCCACAATCTTCACCACCACCACCAGTCTACTCCAAGCATGCGCTCCGACAGCTCGAACTTTTACTCCCCTGTCATGTCCTCGGCCATGCCACCCTCCGGACGTCCTGCCTCTCCGCAATCGTCTCGATCTCGCGCTCAGAATACCACAAAGTCCGTCCCTTCCTTCCATCTGAGCAATCTTCCACGCTTCCATCCCACCGTCTACCCCTCTACCGGCTCGCAGACTACGGTCGGACAGCAGCAACAACAGTCTCAGCCTCCAATGCAATCGCGGCACCATACGTATCGCCAGTCATCAGGCTCCTCCTCTCGGGATGGCATGCGGCAGCTGATGGAGAGTGTGGCATCCTCGCGAGTACCTTCGGGACAGTACTCTCCAAGCCCATCTGCTCCACGGTTGGACCCCCTTTTGAGCCCGGGTCCCGTCACTCCCTTGGTTTTGGAGGAAGGTAACAGCTATCTCACTTCCGGCGCATCCGGTGCGACAGATCCATTCTCGAGAGACCCTCCGAATTCGGGATCCGCGTCGGATAAGATCGCCCGCGAAGGGGACCGAGCTTGGCAGAAGAGCAGCATATTAAGTGCTAAGGGTCGGTGACTGTTGCCAGCTGCCTGCATTGTTGGTGGCATGGCCTTGGTCAAAAAGTCTTCGTCGTCTATGTTTTTCTTTTCGTTTTTTCGCCCTCCACTCAGTCACGATTTATTCAAACGGCATTATGAAGTCTCTGAATTGATTATAAACTATAACCCAGCATCTAGCATCATGATATATCTATATTATACCCCCAATGGCATTATCAGCCTTTTGATATTCTTTACCTTTTATGGGTCCTTTGTTACATGTTGTCATGGATTAGAAGGACAGAGCCAGACTGTTCTGACTAGGATAAATGGCTCTGGACAATAGAACTTGTTCAATACTTCCATATTGTAACTCGTTAGTGTACATGGCTTGCGTATTCACTGCTTCTAAATAATTATATGTGTTCTATCCCCTAGACATTCATCACTTTACTATTTCCTTTCCACAACCTTCCCTTTTCTCCTTCTGGCCCTTTCACAGCATTGCGCAGATATTCCCATCTAAACCTTTTCGAGCTTCCAGTTCTTCCATCGCAACAAAAACTCGTGGGACAAACCTGCAGACAGTGTTACCAATCTTCAACAGAGATTCGAAATCCACAAAAAGACCAACATTGCTTACCTTCGGACGAGGAAGGGCTTCGTAATTGATTTCGAGATGGTTAGGCTAGGCCTACAATCGAAGTATACGCTCAAAGGAATCTCGATTTCCATACAGAGGTAGCAATCGAGCAAACGCAATCGTCAGGGATGGAATTAGAGAAGACTGCCTGCACTGTTCCTTTTAATATTTTTGGCCCCAGACTCTTCCTGGAAGTCTACAGACGATAAGTATAGCTAGGACTTTGGAGTTAAGGAAAGGCGCAATAAGAATGACGATCCCGACATCCACAGTGAATTGGTACGAACAACAGTAGGTATGGTTCCTTACCTACTAGTGTTTACTAGATCGTGGACATGGAGTGCAAATAGCCATACTTCTTGTGCGGATATATCGAAAGGATCGTGGGAAATTGCAGGTCCCAATCGGGGGAGTACCGCTGCTCCCTATTTGGGACTGCATTTATAAGAGATATTGAAAAATACCCAAAGGGAAGAATTACTCGTCCTGCATCCATCAGGGTCCGTCTAAAGCCACGTTTTGGTTCAATTTCAGTCTTCACCATATATGACTGGCGCTTCATTTTCAAAGGGGAGTGCCCCTAGGTACTCAGCAGGCAACGGACCTCATATAAGAAAACATAGACTAGGCCGCTTGGGCTATTTCTAACCAAAGGCCAGCAAGTTCCCGGAGACCGTCAAAGAAGCCGTGAAAAGGACATGTGAAGGTCGATGTTGTAGTTGGCGAGAAGGACAAGCAGGTATGTGATGTGACCAACTTCTACCCTGAGAGGAAGAGGCTGAATTACAAGTCTTCGCTGTATAGATCAGATAAAACGATGACATGAATCCTTCCTCCACTTTGAACGCTGTCCCGCCCTGTCATACTGAAAATGACATGACTGGGGGTCGACAGTTTTGTCTTCTTCCCGGAAGACTTGCAATACTTCGTTTCCCCTTTATAGATTTAAACAGGTCGATTTTGACAGGATAGTTTGTCATGTGATAGGAGAGAGAGAGAGAGAAAAGCAAGTATGTGACGTGGTCGATTTCTGTCCAAGAGGAAGAGGCTAAGAATTAAACCCTCTGTATAGATAACAATATGGCACCAACTAGGTCTCCTGAATTTCTCATTGGCCTCTGTGCCATGTGTCATACTGAATATGACATTTCTGGGATCAAGAGATTTTTCTGACTACATGGGGTTTTTGTTTCCCTTGTTGGATTCGAATGGATCGATTTTGAGCTATGACGGAACATTCATGGCACCTTGTAAAGACTACCGCGAATTCTTTGACTATTAAGGTGGGCCGTTATGTGAGTTTCTCTAAGAAAGCATAGAGCCCAGAGATGCCAATAACCCAAATTATGTGGATTGAGATCTAATATCCCCTCAGAAGTGTTTAAGGAAACTTTAGCCGGCCTCTATTTTTGAGAGGAAATCCCCTGGAGCTATCAAGCACTACACGCCTTTTCTCGCAAGATAGACCGCCATAACAGACAGAAGCGAGCCACATGCAGTCTGTTCGAACACAAGCTCACCCGCTTAGAAAAACTCAGCATACCAGAAACGAACAGTGATTGACTAGGGTACGACCGGCGTATTTATGGCCTAAAGCAAGGAGAAACGCTTATTTTGATACCCATGCGATGAATAAACAGAGGGACAAAATGGGATTGACGCACTGGCACTGATATACCCTGACTTCTCGAAACCGTTCGTCGCGGTTCACCAGCTTTGTGACGATGACATTGAGCGACCGGTGCTTTTATTCTTGACCGCCGTGGAGGAAAACTATGGAGCTACGGATCTAGAATGCGCTGTCCTGGTCTGGTGCCTCCTGAAGATGGCCAGTTCGTAGTCATCACGGATTATTCCGCACTGCTGCACGCTCTCCAGGGTCATTCGGCAGGACGAAGCGCGAGACTCAACAGGGAACTTACATAAACCCCGTTCCCAGGGATTTGCTGGGGAAAGGGCAAGAGACAATCCATCATTTAGCAGCTTTACATTAGAGAGACCGAATATCATCATCTTGAAATAAAATATAATATCTCCCAGTCTAACTGCGAAGACAAGGGTAACAATGCAAAGAGAGAAATTCAATTTGTTTTGCTTCGTCCATGAGTAAACAGAAACTTAGATAGGGGAGCAACATCCTCTTTTCGGTCCAGGACCCAATCCACATTCCTGGATAGTAGTCTGACTTTGATCATTGAGCTTTTCCGGTTCGCTGGCAGCTGATGAGCGCTCGCTCCTTTTATCACTTGATGAATTACCGGGCAAATCACCACCGGGAAAACCACCACCGGGCAAACCACCAGGCGAATCATTCGTCGAATCACTTGGTGATTGCTGGTCGACTTTAGCGGGGCGTCCGTAAATCTTATATCTTTCTTCTTGATATATTGAGAGATACTCTCTGAGATCCTTGTCATTATAGGCATAAGGGTCTTTCAGCCAACCCAGTGTATAACGCGCCTCATTTCCAATCTCAATCATGTAAAGGGTCCCAAGAACTTGCATAGCCCTTCTGAGCGCAGCAATAGGAGCTTCTGGCCATTCCTTTGGCGTAGAAATATCCTCTTTCTGAGAATAGGAGGGAGAACCATTGAGGAAGACACGCCTGTAACGTCCTCCTACCATGCCGTTGTTGGGGTTCTTTTTGGGGGCAGGATATCTGTGCCTGGAGTGTCTATGATACGCGTTCTGCGGTAATCACCCTCAACTTCATACCTGGTAAAGAAATACATGTCTTCTGGAATGAGTATAAATCCGAAGCAACCATCAGGCATGTCGAATTGAGTTTCACAGTCTGGGCAGAGGTGGATGGTGTTGAGAGGAGAGTCGAGGGGGAAATCGATGAGACCTCGTTTACGCCATATTTCAACCTGCATGTAGTAGAATCGTGTAATTAGTATTCATTGAATGGAATAAAGTAAGAGAATGTTAGATACCTGTGCATCGTCATCGCTGATCATACGATACTCGTGCACTGGGGTACGGCCGCACGCCCAGCAATCCTCTCCTGCAAGCTTGCTTGTATTGAAAAATTCATCTGACTGGCTTGGTGAGCTATTGGGCACGGAATTTTCGAAGCTCATTATTGATTGGCTTCCAGATAGAAGGTCTTCTGGCGATGATATCTTGGGCCTCAGTGAAGGAGAGAAAGAGAGCGCGTGAGAGATTTTCTGCCAGAGAATTGGTGTACAAAGAAAGATATTATATGTGTTTGCACTTGAGCCGATAAGGAAGACGGCGAAAGACAGTACATTCCCCAGATTCCTCCACTACACTAGCTGCTCCTCATAATGTTATTACCGCTATGCGCATTGGGGTGTGTCTTGCACTTATTACATGTACAAATATATATTAATTCTCATACACAGAGTGTATTATTGTTCAATTTCAAGTGACTGAGCAGGCAAAGGGGTATACTAATACAGGAACACAAGCTATTCTTTGATCCACCATCAAGTGATGCGTTTTCTCCCTGCCTGGCGGGTAAGTAGAGCTGTATAGGTGAACCACATCCTTCGTCGTAGACTCCGAACCCAGGGCCCAACCTGCATTCCCGTGACTTAGACCGTCAGGGTTCTCTGGGATATTAGTTGAATGCTGGTAATAGTCAGCGTACTGCTCCTCAGCAGTTGCTTCTTGACGTCCTCGAGATTATGCTCTGAGTTCATTATAATTTGTGACGTAAAGGTTTAAAAGTTCCTCGAGTTGAAGACGCGTCTCAATTTCCAGAGAATCAAGATAGAGACTGCCAAACATTTGAAATGCTCGCCTAAAAACGATAATCGGACAGCCCGGCAATTATTTTGGAGTCGCAAACTCTTCTAAATCAAGCCCTAAATGAGGGGATTCCTTGAAAAACACACTCTGGTAGCGGCCTCCTATCAAGCCATTTTGATAGGCACGGCACATCCCTGGGGTTGGAACCTCTCTCTGGGGCAGAATGTCTGAAGTTTCCACCTCGTGCCTTCTGCGCTCGTAGTCTTGACGTTCAAAGTCGATAAAAAACTGAATGTCATCTGGGATGAGAATGAACCTAAGGGATTCGAATTTAGAATGACACTCTGCAGAGTAGGATGGCGTTGTTGATGGAGTCGAGGGAGAAATTGATGAGTCCTTTTTGGCGCCATAGCCCGACCTACATAGCAGCAGAGACATATTAGTTCTTATCTACTTGGAACAAAGTTAGATATTGAATAACTGGCCGTCATCCTGTTTGACCACCCGACGTATGTGCTCTGGGATACGGCTGCACGCCCAGCAATCCTCTCCACATAGGCGCCGGATTTCGAGCTTGGTTGTGTTGGGGACATCATCCGACTGGCCTGATTTGGAGCTTTCTGCTGAAGATGACATTTTGATGTCTCTGTTCTACCACCTAGAATACTCCGTATGTTGTACTTCGTAGTAGACTCAGATAGAATCACTAGAATGATGTATACGCGCTAACCCAATCGGGTAAACCTGTTCCTGCCCGGAGTTGGGCCCTATCCCCGAGCCCTTCGGTTTTGCGGGGCGATCGCTTTACTAAGAACGTCCATATTCTCCAATTCTTTCCCCTCCACTCTTTCCAATGTGACATCTTTCTCAATTCTTACTCCTTTGCTACCTGCGATTTGTCCTGCCACTTACTATCATTTCGTCCTTTTTTTCTACGCAATTGGCCGTGTAATTGAACGACGAGCGACCGACCTTTTATCACCGCGTCCGATAGCGGACTCCCGTAATTCTCTCAGCTTTTTTTTCGTCGACCAAGCAGAGCTATACAGCGTCATAAGCTCACGCCAGGCCGATATATACAAGGGTATACAGGGATACCAAAAGTGCACAGATTCCACACACAATGTCACCCACGCAACCGCCGTTGGCGACAGTCACAACATCGGGGATGGCAGGCCAACCGAACTCCAAATTAGCAGCGACTGGCGGCGATAGTAACAATAACAATGGGAATACGGCGGCGCCCAAAGCACAATCGAAGGGAAACTACAAGGGATTTGTGGCAGGGGTGTTCTCGGGGATTACGAAGTTGAGTGGTATGTCTCCATATACCTGGTTTCTTGGGTTGCAATGCTCCGTTGTTTGCTTGTGCGCAATGGATGGGAATATGCGAGTGCTAACCGGACTATTTGAAATATAGTTGGACATCCGTATGTTTCCCGCCGTTTTCCGTCTTAATGCCGCGCGAGAGTTAGAAAGATAACCAATCGTCGGTCGAACAGATTCGATACTGTGAAAGTCCGACTACAAACATGCACAGATGGTCAATTCAAGGGTCCATTGGACTGCGTTCTACGAACAATACGGATTGAGGGTGTGAGCGGGTTATATAAGGGTGCCACGCCGCCGCTGGTCGGATGGATGGTGATGGATTCTGTGTGAGTTCCGGTTCTCTCGCGAAGGCGAAGAGGAAATGGATAGTATGGAGAGCGGCCGCTAATGATAATCTGCAGTATGCTTGGCTCTCTGACATTATACCGGCGACTACTTCTTGAGCATGTCTTTTCGAACCCTCACACCCGTGCATTGACCCCATTCAATCGGGGCAGTCAATCCGATATGTATACACTGCCTAGTTTCGGACATGGTATTGCAGGTATCATGGCGGGTACTTCAGTTAGCTTTATTGCTGCTCCGGTTGAGCATATTAAGGCTCGGTTACAGATTCAATACGCGGCAGAGAAATCCCAGCGCATGTACAGTGGGCCTGTTGACTGCCTGCGCAAACTTGTAAGCTTGCGCCTCTTCTGCAATTGACTATGAAATTATCGCTGATAGGGGAACCAGATGAGAACGCACGGTATCTCGGGTGTCTACCGTGGTCTCTGTGCCACGATTTTTTTCCGATCCTTTTTCTTCTGCTGGTGGGGATCCTACGATGTCCTAACCCGGTGGTTCAATGAACACACAAAGCTGTCAGCACCGGCCGTCAACTTCTGGGCTGGTGGTATCTCCGCCCAGATATTCTGGATGACATCGTACCCGTCGGACGTGGTCAAGCAGCGTCTCATGACGGATCCCATGGGCGGCGCTCTTAACGACGGAGAGCGGCAGTTCCCCAGGTGGAAGGATGCAGCGAGAGCTATTTACCAGGAGCGTGGCTGGAGAGGATATTGGCGAGGCTTCGTACCTTGTTTCTTGAGGGCGTTCCCGGCGAATGCCATGGCTCTGGTTGCATTTGAGGGTGTGATGCGGTCGTTGCCATGATAAATGGCAGGGAGGTTGTAAAATAATGAACAGATAGACTGTACTTATATACTGTGAACATACTATATAGAAGGCTACTAGTACTGTATAGAAGCCAATACAGCGTCATCGCCTGCCGTCATGCCACTGCCCGTATTAGGTCACCGCCCTCGGTCTTTACTCCGCTGGACCTTGTACAGAAGTTACAGAATTCAACCTCTTTTTATTCCGTCAACATCAAGGACGCAGGAGACTCTCAGGAGAGTTTCTCAGTCTGTGTCTCTATTTATTCTTGCATTGATTGACTGTCTTTTCCGCTCGAATTTTCTTCATTGTTCTGATTCTCCTTCCGTCCGCATTGCCACGCTACTATGCTTGCTCGCCAGTTTCCTCATTGCGAGTATACCTGGGTAATGAGACAGTCTCATCACTCGCCTGTCTAGAAAAAGCAACCTACAAATCGCATCCTAATTTACACCCATCTCGCACCTTTATCCTTCCTCCGGACACAATGGCCGTCGTAACACGCCGGCGTACGAACCCTATCACCCTAGTCCTAGCAGCCCTGCTAGCATTCGGATTCATCACTTTCCTACTCTCGCCCTCATCCTCTACATCATCAACCTCCACCGCATCCGACGACACTTCTTCGCAGTTACGGAAAGAAGATGCGGCCGAAAACCCGCTTTCCCCGCCCACGAAGCCGTTTCTAAGATCACAACCTATCCGCGATGATGGACACCGTGCTCCTCCACCTGTCGTCCATTACAACCTCAACAGTCTCACGAGCACCAGCGCTTCCGCGAAGAATGGCGAACGGGTCCTTATCCTCACGCCGTTGAGCCGGTTCTACCAGGAATACTGGGACAACGTGGTCCGGTTGAGCTACCCGCACGAGCTCGTTTCTATCGGATTCATTGTGCCATCGACGAAAGATGGAAATGCGGCTGTTGCGGCACTCGAAAAGGCTATTAGCAAGACGCAGTCCGGACCGGTCGACTCTCGGTTCGCGAGTATCAGCATCCTCCGGCAGGATTTCGACCCGCCGCTCACCTCTCAGGATGAGAAGGAGCGGCACAAAATGGAGAACCAAAAGGCACGCCGCGAATCTATGAGTCGTGCCCGGAACAGTCTTGTTTTTACGACTATTGGACCCAGTACCTCCTGGGTTCTTTGGCTGGACGCTGATATCATCGAGACACCTTCCACCCTCATCCAGGATCTGACCAGCCACAACCAGCCTATAATCGTACCAAACTGTTACCAGCGGTACTACAACAAGGATAAGAAGAAGATGGATGTCCGGCCCTACGATTATAATTCCTGGGTGGACAGCGGGACGGCCCAGGCCCTGGCGGCGGAATTGGGACCTGACGAGATCATCCTCGAGGGATACGGTGAGATGGCGACCTATCGGACTCTGATGGCTCATCTGGCGGATGTCGAGAATCCTGACCCTGAACGTGTTATGCCGTTGGACGGTGTTGGCGGGACGGCATTAATGGTGAAGGCCGATGTGCACCGTGATGGTGCCATGTTTCCGGCTTTTCCGTTTTACCATTTGGTTGAGACGGAAGGGTTTGCTAAGATGGCTAAGAGATTGGGGTATTCTATTTTTGGGTTGCCCGAATATTTCGTAAGTCCCCGTCGTTTTGAATCTTGTCGTTACTTGATGCTAACTCTTTCTAGGTATATCACTACAACGAGTGATGGTCTGAGACAAAACAAATCCTTATAGATAACGTAATCCACGGCCGAGCCGTCCACACGGCCGTCCCGTCCACTTCCTCCGCAACCACCACGAATTTGAAGCTTTGCAACCACTAACACCATTGAATTAAAATATATAACAGACAAAATATCTAGCTATTTATTAGGGCAGCTTCTTATTGTATGCCCAACAGTCCCACAGCCACTACAGCGTGGTGAAGCGCGTTGACGAGGCATAGGTGTAAGCTCATCAACCTGCTCATTAAGCTGTGTATCAAGCTGCTGTATATGCTCACGGCCTTCTTGTACAGAGATAAATAAATCATTCCCTAGAGAAGCACGTTTCCTT